TTGTCCCTTACCGTTCGATTATTGATTAGGTCCTCATAGTACAAAATGAGGTGCCTCGTGTTACCAAAGTACTCTAAGGCCTTTGCAATTGTTGCCTCCATTCCCTCCAAATCAGAGATCAAGGAGGTAGCATTTATAACAGGTTTGTACTTGGAAAGTGCTTTGGCCTGAAACAATGTTCAATTGAATCTCTTTAAGACCCGAGTAACAAGGAAAATCTAGCCAAAGGTAGCAACAGAGAGAGAGGGGGAGAGAAACCTCTTCTAGAGAATGCACATGTGATTTGTGGGTTCCATTCAACATCTTAGCATAACGGTCATATGAATTTGCAAGAACCGAAACCATACGACATAGTAGGTTTCTCCGAAAGAGAAAAATTGTAGAAACACCTCTACGGTTGAAGTAGTCTGCTATTTCTTCATGATTCTGCATCAATCCCTATTTAAATAAAATGAAATCAGGTTCACAACATTCCACATAATCAGATATATTTATGAACATACATGGCCTTGTATCTCCTCAAGGGTGGAGAGGAGGAAGTGTACATAAACCCATAGAAACTACCTAACAAGCATCTATTATAATGTAAAATAACTCACAAGGAAGCTTCTAAGAATATGCAGACTAGGAATTACCTATAGATTCAAAAGAAAGATAAGAAGTTACCCCAACACCCCTTAAAATTTTCAATCCATACTTTGTCATTCAAAAGTATGCTATGAATTGGGCATTCTCAAAATAAACAAACTCGATGCTATTGTGGCAAGATGGTTTATTTGCAGTTCTTTGAATCTTTTGGCTTGGGAGGAATAAGAGAGTATATCAAGGTGTAGAGGGTTCATTCAAAAACGTTTGGAGCACTGCTCACTCTAATGTTACCATATGAATTTTTGTGAATGTAACAGCCCAACACACTGCTAGCAGACATTGTCCGTTTTGGCCCATTACGTATTACCGTCAGCCTCATGGTTTTAAAACACATCTACTAGGGAGATGTCTCCACACTCTCATAAGGAATGTTTCGTTCTATTCTCTAACCGATATGGGATCTCACAGTAACCTTACTCTTTTTGCTGCTTAGGGCCTATCTTTTACATGCTTTGTATTCAAGTAAATACTACAAAGCTGTATTTTATATTCTCGGAAAACAATTTTCAACGAAGGGTGGCCCTTTACCTTCCATACAACTTCTGAAAGAAGTATGAGAAGTCCTTGGATCAAAATATAGAACTTTAAAGGGCTACCAATAACATTTCCAGCTTTGAATGAAACAAATATACTAGTATGATGGTTCCAAATCATCAATTAACGGTCATAACATGATGAAAAAGGAACTTTTTATTACCTGATTAAGCATCCACTTGAAGCCAACTGCTGCAGAACAATGGTTCTTAGAAGCACTACTGAGCCAGTCCAAATTGTAGATCCTATCCAGAGTCTGTACAATTGTGGTAATATTCTTTCGCCGATCCAAAACAGAAAACACTTCTCCATTAGAGCTTGCATTAACATGACTATTCAGAAGACTCTCGAACCATCCACTTCCTGACCTCTGCATCGAAACAATCGCAAAGAGTCTTACTGGATTGTTTGAGCATTCAGCCCTGATAGAACACAAAAGTAAGTATTTAGAGATAAACTTTGGGACTCATGAGCAGAAGCACAAGTTTCAAATACCTGCTAAAAGTTTTGGGTCTTGGATAATGCTCAGGAGGAAGTTTCTTCAGTCTAATACTTAGCTCAGGACATTCTGCTATTTGAACCCTCAAAAATCTCGCCTTGGTGTGAGTATTTAACTGCTTCACACAGATTGAGCATATATAAACACTACAGACCATTGCAAACATCAAAACTGCCATTCTCAACAATAGAGGAGATTTCTTGGGAGATTTTATAATCAGAGTATCCTGTGAAACCATGAAAGGTGAAAAGAACATAGGTTATTGTCACAATATAATAACTCAGGCCTATCCAATAGATGAAATTTTCACAAGAAAATTGAAGGAATTGAAGATTAAAGTACAGGGACATGGTGATACAAAGTGATGAATAACGCATACCCAGTGAAACTCAAATACATGTACAGTTTAGATGGAACATTTCCATGTGAAAATAATGGCTACGGACACATTTCTGAAAACAATTTCTTCAATATATGAACTGGCCCAAGGAATAGTAAAGTAAACGCATCCCCCACCCCCCTTTCAACCACCAAAACCCCACACAGAAACATGTAGAAGACTAGCTATGACACAGCCAAAATACATTACAGTTAGTCAGATACCCTTAAATCACAATGGTGGTAACGAGAATTAAAGAACAAAAAAAGTGATATCTTTAAGGCAGATTGTTCCATAAACGAAGAAAAGAAGCTTCTCGACCTCAAAACAACCAAAAACATTTAAACTATAAAAATAAAATACAAAATAAAAACTAGGAAGGAAAATCTATTGAAACCCAGAATCTGCATGAAGCAAACCAGCAACTTGGCTATAACCCAAAAGAAAATCGAACTGGAAAGGTAAAGTGCAGACAAAGAAGAAAAACTCAGAACGAAGGAGTACCTTGTTGAAGAAACAGATACTTTCCGCCATATGTATCACAAGAACAGCTAAAAAAAGAAACAGAGGACAGATATCAGCTTAGAACCGTCGACCCTGTTTTTACTCTAACCCCAGCAGCTGCCTATCAGCTTCAAAAACAAGCGAAAGAGAGATTCAAAGATAGACGCATTTGGGTTAAGCTGAAGAAGCCAACTTCGCCACGTGACGCACACAGAACAAGAAGAAACAAGCTGACGCGTAATTTAAATGGGATTGGGCTCGGTCTGTTTTCAAATTCCAAACAAAATCGAAAATTTGTAAATACTCCGTGCAACTCCCGTTGTCTGTTACTCAAAAACCCGACCCAGACGGCGTAATGCGAAACAGAACCAATCGACAAGTGCAAAAAAACAGCTATTTACCAAACGCTAAAGAAAGTTGCAGAGCCGCGTCAAAGACAGAAGGTGGGGCAGTGAGGGAGAAAAAAAGGCATCGTCAAAAGAACACCCCTTAGACTACGATGCCTTTTTTTTCCCTACGGGGGAGATAAATTAATCATGGAAGATCTCGGTATTAATTTTATCACCTTCCAACGCTGATTAACCTGGCTTTAAATGCTGCTAATGTGATCTTATTAATGCAACTTTCTGGATAATTAAAATAATAATAATAAAGAACACTGCAGGCGGCAGGAGCCTCGTTGGAGAGCGATCCCCCCAATTATTTTAAACTGGGGACACTATATTGTACTGTTCTTCTCTTTTCTGTTTTTCTTTAAAAATAATTTAAAAGAAAGTGTTTTTTTTTAAAAAAATTTTATAAATATATATGTATACACGTTTGATCTCTTGAATTTGGTGTCCAACCTGACATCCTACCTTTACCCTTTTTCATCATTAAATTATAATTTGTCTACAAAATCAAATTTAGGTCTACATTTTCTAAAGTTAATATTTAGAAATAATCTTTTACAGACAGAAGCCACTAGTAGATTAAGCAGGTTTGAACAGCTACATATTCCATCTTTCACTTCTATTAGATTTTTATCAAATCTACCGAATTCTTACTTCTTTTTAATTATATAATATAAATTTCAATCTTAAATTTTAGAAGTATAATGAGGTGAAATTATAATTCGACATAAATGGTGGTTATATTTGTAAATTTAGTAACATTAAATCATATTATAACATCAAAACAACCAACTTAACTGTAAACAAGTTCTAATTAGACTTCAATTTCGATTTCAAGTACAAGTGGTGGAGTATGAATCGTGTAAAATTTGTTTAGAAGAACGTATGGAATGAATTTATGAGTGGTAAGTAAAAAAGGGTGAGGATGGGGCCGCATGATCATTCACAATGAGTGCCTAAACACAGCATCCTTATCTCGCAAGCAATTTTTGTAATGAACCATCCCCACCCCATGCTTTTGAGTGCTTCATAGAACACCTCCTTTTTTCTTTCCAAACGTTTGTTGTGTAATCTTATGAAAAAGTAGGTCATAGTAAATTTTGTTGATTAATAAGTTTTTTTTTTTAAATTGACGATTGAAAACAAAATGATTACAGATGATTGCTTCTTCTTGGTTGATTAGACTATATCCATTCTATATACAACTTGTAAACAAATATATATTTTTGAAATTGACTATCGAAAACAAAATGAACTATGATAACAATATTATTTTTTTAAAAAGATAACAATTAAATCTCTATGTTACATCATCGTAAGATAAAAGAAAATTAACCACATCAAAGAAAAATGATAACAGATGTGACATAGTTTTTTTTTTTTCTTTTTTATATTTAACTCTGGCCAATTTGTCAACTGAATTAAGTATTTTCTAATTTCAAATTTAAACTCCTTCATATATCAGCGTGTAGGTCAAACATATGGATAAGGATTGCATATTATTCTAAATAAAAAAAATTATACAAGCCAGTCCGTCAACATTGACTTCTGACTTTTGTAACCGTCTTAAAAAAAAAGAAAGCGAAACAAACTGAAACCATGATGTTTTTCCTATTAGCGAAATCAAGCAAAGATGTTAGGTTAGAAATACGCAAGGCAATTAATTAGTTAGAGCTGCCTTAAAGTTGAAGCTTTAAAATGAAGACGTGCATCCCACGCTGATATGATTTCATCAAATGTAAATAAAAATGAAGTGGAAATGGACTGCAACAATTATTGTAATTCTTTACCCAAGAAGGAGAAGGAAGAGAGCTGTAATTGAATAAAAATGTCCTACCTGGATATGGACTGCAACAATTATTTTCAAATAAAAATCATGGCTATGGATGGGCTCATCTGCCTAAATTTGCACCCCACAACTTTTTATATACATATATATACTTCCACAAATCAAGCAAATTTGTGTCACTACCTTATAACTTAACTCTACAGAATATCAATATAGTTTAAATATGGAATAAATAATTACCTTCTGCCAATCCTATTCTCACGACAAAACAAATATATGTAATTGAATACATAACATCTAATTTACAATTGGTATGATCGAAATCCATTCTTATGCACATTTGACTCCTACTTATATACTCCCGATCTACTCGACGGCACTACACATTCACCACCCATAAATATGATAAGAGAACATCAGGAATACTAACTGTTGTACGGACTCTTTATACATTGGAGCTCTAGCATATATGAAGATGGTATACGATATGTAAAGTACACAAAATGAATGAAATAATGTTAGACAAATAATAAACAAATGAACCTCATCATACGGCTACAGCTTTTTACACGTCAATTTAAGCAAATATTTGCTGGATGACCATCTCTGCATTTCCATTATACTGTGCAAGAAGATGGATGGCATCAGCCCTGGGCAAAGCAAGAAACTCCTGAACCCAAGCACAAAAATTTTGCATCATAAGTATATGGAGAAAGCCTTCAACAGAAGAACTATAGAAAAAAACCGCATTTTCTACCAAACATAATTTGTAAAAAGCCCGTGGAAACAAATCCAGACAAAACAGGGGGTGATAAAAGTTTGTTGTTCAAGTTGAACTTACTTACCATGACTTTAAGTATTGCATTTTCATCACCAGCATCTATCGATGACGCTTGCATAGGACTGCTACCATCTTCTGAGGTTCTTGTAGCCGAAGATTTTGCCACTTGGGAAGAACCATGGATGCAACTATCTGAATTTGATTTCAACAGCGCACCAGAAGTAGAAAGCGAAGGCAGATTAACTTCCTTCAAGGAATCAATCTTCAGAAGACTTTCGAACCGATCCTTGCACATTTGAAGTTTAAACCATTCACTATGAGAGTGAACTGTGGCTCTCATCAACTTCATTAGTCGGGGTTCTTCAATACCTAGTCTCCTACCAAAAGCAACCTGTCGAAAATGTAAAATTTTTAGTCATATTGCTGCATATGAATAGAAACAGAGCATAGTCTATTTTGTTTTCTTCATGGTAGAATTTTTTGTAAACGTAACAAGGTTTATCTCCTATTAAGTCAGTATTCTAATACCATTATGACATTCTTTTACCTGCTCGCATATATAACCATCTTGTATAATGAGGCAGATTAGGGATGTAGCAATAGGGTACATAACAGAAAATAATGAGGCAGATTAGGGAGGTGCAGTGATCAACCTACCTTGAAGATGGGACCTTTCATCCAATAGGTCAGTCAAACAAACATTCATTCGGATAATTCCCAAAGCAAAATGTTCAAATTTTCACTAGAATACTAGATAAGAAAAGGAAAGTTACTCCCCCCCCCCCCCCCCCCCCC